GGAATCTATGCTCCCTTGCTGGAGGCATTCTCTCGATTCTGCTCAGATGTTCTTCCATGGGTGAAAACCAATGATCTAGCCTATATGGTTGAATCCGCAGGCGACTGTGTTCATGCCCTTCTCCTAATGGCGTCATTGTTGGCAAACTTTCTCGTAATCTTGGTGTTGCCAATGGCGTTGGTAAATGTTATGTTTTGTTACAGTAGATTGTTCACCTCGCCTTGACCTCTCGATAGGACCTTTCTAAAAATTAATTTAGTTGTGTGCATCTTCGATGTCTCGACTAGCTCTTGATATCATGTTTGTGTAGAGACTAGGTATAATTGGTATCAACTCTATATTAATGTATTATCCTTTATCAAAAACCAGTGGCACATTAGATTATTAACTGCATGCAGAATAAGACGTCTTATATTTCTGGGTGGAAGGGGGGGGGTGTACTTTTCTTAGATTCCGCTGTGAGTTTGGCATATTGCGGTGGATACTCAGAAATACTTATTTGGTTTTCTCATTTCTCATGTAATACCCGACCGGTCAAAAATCATTCAATCATATGTAGCAACTTTAACTTTACTTAAATATGTACAAAAAACATAGCTAACAAGATACAGTAACTCAGCAGATCACATTTCAGCACAAAAAAGTGATCCCTGGAACATATGGATTTAAAAAAAATAAGTAGGAAAACTCTTTGAAATGCAGTAAGAGGAAATGAACAAGATTGAGAACTTGAAAATACTCTAGCTAATGAACTCAGCCTATAGTGGTGAACTCTAGGGAATTCATCTTGCATGCACGCTAGTGGATATAGCTAACCTTGAATTGCGAGTACAAAAGAATACCCATGCATGCGTACGTGCGAGCAAGAAAATAAAAAGACAGACTAATTATTTATTCACTCGATCACCATATATGTACGTACAATTGTATAAGGTAAGGTACGTAGCGATTTCTCTTTTCCTTTGCATCTTTACTTACTCACATGCGGTACGTATACACATATGCGATATACTGATACTATATATAGATACAATTGTTCTTGTTGTTTGGACTCCCCACCGCCGTGTCTATGAACAGAAACCGTGGATCTTCTTGGCAGCCGGCGCGGCATCGTCGACGGCCAGCCTCTTGCCACCGTCGCGCTCGGGGTTTAGACCAAAATGGATGTTTGGGTAATGTGCCCACTGCCAAAGAAAATGTATATGCAAAGTTGATGTTAGGGTAATTTGCCTGAGGAATGGAGAAAAGAAACTCATTAACATGTTAGAATGCATGCATGCATGCATGCATGGATGCTACGACGTACGTTCTTTGCGGCAGTGCTGAAGGCTTCCCTGTGGCTAATGTCGGGGTTGTTTGCTTTGATCATTCGTATCTCTTCCCTGATCATTAGATTAATTATATTTTAGCATCATTGTACTTAAATAAATAGTGCACAACTATTCTTGCAGTTATATTTTCAGCTAAATTGCTTCAGGAGGAGAAAAGCAGCAGTAGTTCGTGCTACAATATTAGAAAAGTAGAAATTAATATTAAAGAAACTCACTTGATGAATCTGTTGTACGCCGAAGGAACACGCTGCCTCTTCTCCGGAGCTGTTGAATCACATCAATTGAAGCAATGATTATTTCAAATATTGGAGGAAACCAAGTCAAACCTATCCCATTCCATCAATTCATACGAACAATCCAGTAATGTAGTTTCGTAGCTAGCTGATCATAACTATATTTTGGATGCATGCATGATCTCCTTATGAAAATCTAGGAAACATGCATGCATGCAATTTATCGAATTAAGAGCAGCTCTCTAAACATACGTAAACCAACTTATTAAAAGCCCCCTCATACTTTGGCTCAAGTTTTGACCATAAACTAGTTAATTAATAAAATTTTATTTACATCTCTTCCTAAAATTATACCATTGGGATCTTCTTTTGAATATGAATTCAAAGGTACATTTTTATGGAGTAATATATAATCATATTTGACTAGTTAAACTTATGGCTAAAATTTAACCCAAATTATGAGAGGGACTTCTAAACCCGGATGGATGAAGTAAAATGGGAAGATTAATTTTGTGATGACACTTACGACGTGCGTGCAGTGTTTGTTCCTGCAGCAGATCGTTTTGCGACGAGAACATCATCGTCGGCATCCCGAATTTGGACGACGATGAAGAAGAAGACGAACCAAACTCCGGGTTATTGTAGACGCTGCTGTGATCGCGAATGAAGCTGTTCATGCCATTGGGCTTGCTCAGGCTACTCTCCTACATGTCATCGATCGAAAATTAGCTAATTAATATCCATATGTATATATGTGCATGCTGGTACTAGCTGCATGTGCATGCATGCTGTGATCTATGGGTACTATAGTATCATCAAATTAAGAAGACATGGATGTGACCTGTGCATGCACTACTGTGTAGCCTTTTTCCTGCTACAGAAAAGTTATTAAGAGTCGGCGTGACATGTCACAATGTATATATGTTTGTCCTGTTTTGCTGATTAGTCGTTACAGCTGATGAGATATGTACTAGCTGGAGTAGCTAGCATCGATAGATGACAACATATGTATGCATGAATCATGATCACATTGTACTGCTACTAGCTTGCAAGAATCTTGCTCGTCTCGTCTATGCATGTTCATCGACCTGCATGATCTATCTTCATGATTTGAACAGCATGCATGTACCAAAATTAATTACCATGTGCATTAATTTATGCATGTACAGACATGCAGGAGCTGGTAGTATCATCGGTCAACGAACCTGGACCTGTGGTGCGGGAGGGACTGGTGAGTGCATCTGCCCTCTCAGGCTCACGGAAAGTAGGTTTGTGCAGTGCCCACACCGGACTGTCACAATGTTGAGCATGCTGTTCCCAGGGACACTCACCTGCACACAAACCAATATTCCAAGAATTAACCAACCATATGTTAGAATCCAGAGCATATGTTGATCCAAAGCAAAAAGACAAGTGCATCGGGGAGGAAACCAAAGATCAAGGTGGATCGGAAAAGGCCTGCGATTAGATTTCAGACCAGGTGTATATGAAGCCCTCGTTGCTTTCGTCTCACTTTGTTTGCACGTTTCTACTTTAACCAGCTGCATGCATGCATGCTGGTCCAATTTGTGACTTTTATCAGAGCCTCGCCTGAACTATGTATTGGATACCCATTTTTCTTTCACCTTTTGGGAGCACGACAATGGCTGCAGCATCTGGGATATTGAGAATCATGGCTGATCACTTTCGTGCTTTTTTCATCTCTTCCTTATGGGCACTCGCTCCCGTAAGAAATAATTGATAAACAAGCCCATGCATGACCACTACCAATGATTGTGTATGTAGGTATTTTGGCCCATGCACATACATATACACACTCACACCTATACATATACATATGGTACACAAGACCGATTAATTGCATGCTGTGCCAGATTAATTAGCTCTGCCAAACACACTTGATGTCAAAAAAAAAAAAAAAGCTCTGCCACACACACATGTGCGAGTGTGACTGTGTGTGTTTGTATGTTTGTGAGTGAGTGGCATGGTAAACAGTGCATGGACAATCTCATTGTCTGTCCCTGCTAAATTGTTTTTGGGGGATAAACTAGTATAGTAGTAGTAGTACAAAGGCAATAGAGATGTGTGGGTGTCCCCTACACGCTACACTAAGGAAAAGATGCATCAGACAGTGACCCTTCATGCAGAGGCCACTTCACACACACTCACATGCACGCACAAGGTCCAGCATATATACTCCACAGACTCTCACAGATATGTATACAAGCTACAGTGGTACCCTCCGACTTCATCTTGGGTTTATCTCACAAGTAGTTTTAAAAATAGCTTAGCTTAATCATAATTAAGCTCCGCGGGTAAAGCTAGATTATGAAAAAAATCTTCAATGTTTTTCCCGTGGTAAACCTACAGCATATGTAAGAAACGTAGCTAAACTCACCCACTACTACTTCATAAGATTGTCTGAAAAATAAATGAAGTGACATGCGAGTTCATCTTTTCTTCATTAGTATTTTCCTTGCTGATTAATTATAAGGTGGAAAATTGATTATTACTCAGGCTCAGTAGGGGAAGATCCATAAGGATCTAAAAAATGTTAGTGATCTATGCAAAGAAATCCTTTTTTTTCGACCGATGGATTTCGTAGTGTGGTCTTTTATCTCTCTTCTTCATGCAAAGAAATCCTTGTTAATAACTTTCTGAACATATGGAGTCAAATTAAACCTTGACGCTCGAATTAGCAACATGATTATTTAGCAAGATTACCAACTGATTGTGTACTAGCTAGTTAGTGAATGATTAATTGGCCGTGATCATGTCATGAAATCACAGAAGTACCAGAAACGCGTAGCCATTTAATTTGTCCATGTGAAGCTTAAATAAATGAACTGACCAAATGAAAAAAAAAACTGCAGGTCATGCTTGACATTAACTATCCGTGGTGCCTGGATGCATGATCAAGGTAAAAGCTAACATAACCACCTAGTAGTACTTCTCAACATATAATGGAAAACTATGATGAGTAATTAACATTGGGTGCAGTATTTTTCGACGAATTAAGCAAGCATGATGTGGAGGTTTGTCGCATGGTTTGAATTTAGTTGCCAATTGTCCATTTATATTCACATTGAGTTCATGGTTATCACCAAAATATCTTTACACACAAGGACCAAAATAAATGAGTCCAAACTTTCTTTTACCCCTACCTGAATAGCTTAACATTAAACTCGATGATAATTAAACATCACAAGCATGCATGAAGAAGAGGGAAACCTGACATGCAGTCAAATACAATCAATATTAATTTCTTGCTGATAAAACATTATGAATTCCTAAGAAGAGGAAGGCTATGGTGATTGATAAGTAATAATTATTTCTGGTAAACATCGTAAATTATGTGAAGACTAACTATTTGGACTGATCTTCTTATGATTTTCTTTTTTTGTGAAGACCTCATTTCCATGCATCCGAATATCAAAACAAAAACAAATTAGGCAGGAGAACTAGGAAGATGTGTTCTAATTAATTTCACGAGAAAGGCTTCCAAACACTAAAAGGATCTTTATTATTCCATGCCAATACAAACTGAAATGATATATGTAAAAAACGTACAAACTATTCTATGTTATATATATAACGAAATTATTCATGTGTAAATGGTCACTTAGCTTGAACGTGGCACAATGGCACCTATTAATTTCATAGACATATCTATACTGAGACTAAACAATTCAATAAGTTAAACATAGTACTTACTTATCTGATTGTGATCTATGACCATGTTGGGGTATATAAATGTGTTGATACGCATGCATATAACTTATCAGGGCTAAAGAGAAGCCAAAAATACAATAAGGAGAACCTTTCAGATCAAATTGTGGAAGAACAAGGGATCAATCAACAGACTTACTTACTTTAGACTTGCAACTCATGTATCAACAATAGTATCTTATAAAGATCGTGCATTTATAATGTTTAAGTAGCATTAACTTTGGCACATGCATGGTGTACAATACTACTAGTATTTGATATTATCTGTATGTTGAGACACTGTTTTCTATTATTTCAAGTGTATTCAAATCCAGTGATTCACATGATGAAACACAAGGAAACTGCATGAGGTTTTTATGCTCCATGCAAATATTATATATTGAAGAATGATAATAATAAAAATCAAATTGGAAAACAGTTCTATAAATTGTTGCATAAGTGCACCGACGGGCCTAAACAAATGTTCTTTTTAACTGAAACTGAAATTCCACAAGGAAAAATAGAGAGCATAATTAAGGAAGGGGGGAAATGCTTCCTGTTTTCTTCGGATAGGATTGTTGTCCTTTTGGTTTTGTTTAGACAACTCTCCAACAAACTGGCAACAACGCAAAAAAGGAAGAATCCACTATATATAATCAGGTAGAGAATCTAGAAGGCGATTGGATTTTGCAAATAAAGAAACACTATACAAAGACTCATAACTCTACAACATTAGAATGACCAAAAATTGGTCAACCGATCAATCACCCGAGGAATCTCTCTTTTCTAGGCAGATCTATATCACAGAGAGAGA